GCAAAAAACCCTATAACCAAGAGGCTTGCTTTTGAGAAATTGGGCCATAGAGAGGCGGGGATGTTTTCTGCAACCCATCAGGTAGACAAGAACCTAAAAAGAAGAAACAAATGGGACTTTTGAGGAAAGAAAACGTCATCTCTGGGGACTACAGGAAGAAAATAACGGACACACAGAAGTTTTAGGAGATTTATTCACTCAAGAGACAGCACTCGATGTCCTGCGATAACTGGCACAGCATTAGGACAGGAGTACAATGGTGAGCGAAAAGACCCCTTACCTAATGGGCCATGTCCTTCCCAAGGGGGCAGACATTAGCCAATCATTATTTGAAACTATGACCACAAGTGTGAGAGGTGTGTACAGAGAACTGAGGAGAAGGGGGAGGCTTCGCCGTCAGGAAGCCCCAGGTACCCTCTACATGGGCACCCTCATCTCGGGGAAGGAACCCAGGTGGCCTTCTTTCGCCTCTTTGGGGGACCTGCAGGCACAGTACTGCATCCCCCCACCACCACTGGTGTCTTCAGGGGTCTCTACACACACTACACAGACACACACCACTCGGTCCCCCGCACTCCTCCCGCATCCTTCCCTCCTGCTGCGCCGTTACGTCTCTCTCCCCTGTGTTATTAACTTACTCATCTTTGCACCAAATGTATATTGAATGGACAAAAGCAAACAAAGGTCTTTTATCTTTAGTCTGTCAGCACAGGGAAACAAAGACCTGGGATTTTCTTTTTTTCATGGCACTATCAAAATGAATCGAGGTCAACAAGTTTAAACGTTAAACTGAAATAATTTTAACAAGAATAAATACAAAACCTCCAAATTTGGGTTACTGAAATCAATAGTATAATTGCAGGATTGTTGGGGGGGGGCAATTCATTCAACAAACACTTACTGAATGCCTATATTTCAGTCACTGTGCCAGGTTCTGGGGTCACCCAGTCACTGTGCCAGGAGCTGGGAATATGGCAGTGAAAACACGATGTCCCTGATGTCACAGAACTTAAATTCGACCAGAAAGAAAGATCTAAGGGTTTTAACTAATCACATGTGAGTCATCAGTATGTAGCTTGGAACTAGCCCTAGGTCCCCTTGTATCGAGAAGGGTGTTGATAAACCAAACCGTGTTTGGAGGAATATGGTGAAGCCCATGGAGGCCTGAGAACTGACTGGAGGACCCGTGGCGAGAGGAGGTGCAACAGCAGTTTTCAAATATTGAGAGAGTTGTCTGTGCACCCATGACCCCACAGGCCCAGAGTTCACCAGATAGAGATTACAAGGCAGCAGGAAGAGTTTCTCACACAGGTAACTGCTCCATGAAGGAGTGGGGCAGCCTTGTTCCCTCGGGAGAGGTATCCCATCCTCGGGGATGCTGCAGGAAAAAAACTGTGCTGTTTGGGACCAGACTAGACTATCAAGAGGTCAGACTAGTGTCCGAGTCCCATCAACTGTAAAGTCAAGAATTCTTAGTTAATCCCCCATTAAGCAGGAAGGCAGCATTTAGGAATAGAGGCTTTGGATTCTGGTCCTGGACTGGGACAAATCACTGCACAGGCTAAATCTCATTCTCTAGAGTGTAAAAGGGGGGCAGTAATAGCTCCCACCTACCCCAGCTGCGAGGATGAACTCCGGCGATGTGCGTAAGCACCGCTGATACAGTGCCTGGCCCTTGGCAAGTCATCAGTACGTGTTAGCTAACAGTGATATTAAGTGCTTTCATTTTATTTGACATTTCCATTTATTTAGGAATATCATTTTGCTGTAAGTCTAATTCTGCAATCTCTCATGTCACATTTACTAAATCAATTATTATAGCAGTGTAAAACTATAAAGTAGAAGCACTTAAGAGAAATTTGAAATGTTTTATTCTCCAGAGAAATTAGAAAAATGGCAGTACAAAAGAAGATGTTTAAGGGTTTAATGAAAGGGACTTGTGATTAAATCAAAGGGAAGCTGGGAAGCTATTAACATATGGAATGGCTGAGCTAGGCTGTGGCATGACAATCTATCTCCCGTCCTCCTTGGGAGACCCCCATCAGACGACGGAAGTAAAAATCAATCCAGCACACTGATTTTTATGAGGACTAAGTCGTGCCAGACCAATTTAATTTCCTTCTGTGACAGAGAAACAGGCTGCAGTGACACGAAGAAGCATTGGATATCAGATAACTGTGGCTTCAGCTAAGTCTTTAATTCCAGCCTACATAATAGCTGAATCTAAAAACTTAATTGAATTCTGCTGGCTAGTGGAAATGATCTCCAGAAATGGGAAGCAGAGGTTCAGAATCACTTTTTGAGTAAGGAGGAGGCAAGAAGCTCTTTCATTCATGGGACTGACAGAAAAACATGTCCCCCCGCACCACCACTGAACGCCTGTCAGGTGGCATGCGTTCCATTGAAGACACACTGCCCATGGTGCTAGCACAGAAGACAGAGAGGTGATGGGTCCACTCCCTGTCCTCATAGCCCATGACATTGGGGTGGCCAGCAGGAAGTAAGTTCAATTTGACACTAAAGGAATGGCCAGGGGCTCAGAAAGAAAGGACTTTTGAAGACGGAGGGAACTGTGGGGTAAGTAAGAACTCTGAAAATGTGGAATGTGTAGACCAGGGTAATTTACCTGAGTCCCATCTGCTTTGAGTAGGTGACCTCCAGAAGCCCTCTCTAGCTTTAAAATTCTCGTAATGAAGCCATTTTAGTGATTTTACAATCTGGACTCTCCTGAATCCAGACTTTCCTTTTGTCTCACGTGGGAAAAGTGTTGATGGAAACAGGGAGGAAAATGGCCTTCCGGCGTCCTATCTCAACACGTTCCCTGCAGGTCAGGGGCCCCCAGCAGCCTGGGACTGAGTTCATGGGTGGAGCACTGGTGGGGGGCGGACAGGGAAGAAGAAAAGAATAAAGAACCCTGGCTAATCTCCCAGGGTGGCTGAAATCCCGGATATTTGTCCTTTTCTCAGGTGACCACTGTAACTAAAGATGTCCAGTTCCCAGTCTGAAAAGTCCACAGGAATCAGGCCACTTTTCTAAAGACCCTGGGGACTGCCAGAGCACCTCCAGGGAAGCCTTGATCTTCAGAAATCTTCCTCTACCCTGAGGCCGATGGAAGTTTCTAGGGAGTTGAAATGATCCTGCCCACCCAAGAGTCCTGCCAATTTTAAGCTGCTTGCTGTCCTGGGACTGGAGCTGAGCTCTTCCCATGAAGGATGCAGGTCTTCAGGAGCACCTGCCGGGCAGGGCTGTCCACGGTTGGCAGGGTACCCCAAATATGCGTGCTTGTCCCAGGCCCCACCTGTTGCAGGGACCAGCTCTCATGGTGACTGATGGGCTATGACTCAGGATGGCAGAGGAATAAATGAATAAGCTTTGGAAATGAATAAATATGTACATATTTAGCCAGCACATAACTCTCTCATACCCATAAATATGAGCACAGGCAACATACACACGCACACCATATACTCCCAGTCACCTAGGCAACCATTCTCTGATGCCGTACTTTGTTATTTTTCACACTAGATCTTTTTAACCTTATTTCCTTGGAGTGCAGCTCTGGCCTTTGACTCTGAGGAGGAAAGGCTGTTACATATAACATTTACCAGGTCCGTTTTAAAGGCTTGTGTCTTATCCTGATTCTGACACTGAATTCAGCCAACACATCATTTGGAAAGTTGCTGAAAGCATCAGCAACACAGAATAACCATTCTGATTGCTACTGTGAGTCAGAAAAATTAGAGACAAATATAGTGTTAGGCCTTGCACAGTTCTCACTGACAGTTTTCGCTTTTTTGAAAAAGGGAATCACAAAGTTCATGTGAAAAGGGAGCCAGCTTTGGTCCTAAAAGATGGAGAGACCGATTCTCAAGATTAAAGTGACAGCTTTTATTTAGGACACATGGATTTAAGTTTATTGATCTTTTAAGAGTAGTTCACATTTCTTTCCTCCTCCTTATAATATATATATATATATAATACTTCAAATTAATCTTGTTTTCTATTTTAGATTTCATTATTCAAAAGTGCCAATAACATTAAGAAGTCAGGAAATGGTTAAAAACATTTTAATCCAAATAGTGACCTGGTTTTTGACAACATCCATGTAATAAGGAGTGAAATTTTGCCTTTTCACATCACCAAAGGCCTGCCTGTGGCAACAGTTAGTCTGTTTTCATCTCTATCCTGCAAGTATCAGTGTCTGGTAAATAATAATAACAATAATAAAAATTCTGATTTTGTGACTAGACCAGAAAGTTCTTTGCATAGCCTTCCATCAGAATTCTGCTGGTGGGGGGTGGGGGGTGGGAATGACCTAGTAAGAGTATTGAATTTATGGTCCTAATCCACTTTTCTGCGGTGCCTCACATAAGCACTGAGGCACTGAGGCTAGGGAGGGGAGTCTTCACTATGAAACAACTGCCTGAAAAGTAAGCTTCAGTGCAGAACTGACGGAGCCAGAGGGTGTTTATTCTGCCCTGAACTAGGATTCTGGTTTTGGAAGCTGTCGAGGGAGAAAAGGGGAGGCGACGAGGAGGACTCCACCCAGACAATCTGGGTTAGGTGCAGCGTCTCTAAGTCCAAGGAGAGAGGGGCCAGGTGGCCAATATACAGAGCAGTGAGCCGGCTGGGTACACAGGAGGCCAGAGCGGGCATGGACTAAAGGGGGGGCGGAGGCGAACCCGGGTGGAATGAGGGGTAGGTGGGCGTGCCAGGCGGGCTGTCCTCACACCCCACCCGCCCCAGCGGCGAGCCTGCCCTGGCAGAAGCAAAGAAGTCCTGGGTTTTCCCGAGGCGCGAGGGCTGGGCTCAGCCTCTGTAACGGTCCCTCTTTGACCCTGCTCCGTGAGCCTGGGTCTGTCAGTCTGTGCCCGCACTTACTGTCTTGTGGGTCTGTCTGCCTGTCTCCCTCCTCTCCTTGACCCCTGCCTACCTCCCGCTCCCCACCGTTGACCCGGCCTCCCCGCGCCTGGGGGTCTGCGGGAGCCGGGCTCACTCACCAGCGTGCAGGCCTCCCGCCTCGGGACCGCTGTCGGGGGCGGCGTTGCTGGGCGGCGTGTCCGAGTCGGTGTAGGTGAGCCAGGTGGACTCGGTCTCCCGTGTCCAGCTCTCGTAGTAGCGGGGCTCGATGGCATCGGCCCTGCTCCCGCCGCAGCCCATCCTCCCGCAAGGCGGGCTCGCCGGGCGGCCGCTCGGCTGGCGGCTGGGGCGGCGGTTCAGCCCCCGCGGCACAGCCCCGGCCGGGGAGACGGCGGCGACATCGGTCCCGAGCCTTCCCGCACCGCAGCGAGGCGCCCGCCGCGCCCTCTCCCCGCGCCCCTCCTCTCCACCGCCAAGGCCCTCCCCTTCCCCACCTCCCCTCGCCCTTGCCGCTCCCCCCACCCTACCCCACTCCACCCCACCCCAGTCCCCTTTCCCCGCACCCTCTCCGGGTGCGCCAGAGCCGGCGGCGGGCGAGGGGGAGGGGGGAGGCGCGGAAGAATGGGGGGTGGGCGGTGTGGAGAGGGGTCCCACCAGGGGTTTGGTCCGTGCAGGGAGTTAGGGCTCTCAGGCTCTTGCACATTCACCCATTTATCCATCCGTCCTTCCAACCATCCACCGTCCCTCCTCCCTCCCTCCCTTCCTCCTTGGGTCCATTCATCCATCTTGGGGAGAGCTGGAGTACTTCGGCAGGGACCCCAAGTTTTCTGCCACTTGTTTCAGTAACTGTGGCTATTATTGCTCACCATTCCCTAGTTCAAAAAGAAAGAGTACCCGCGCTGGGGACCTGCCGGGCAGTTCTAGAAAACGAAAGGAGGCCCCTGGAGCTGGTTTCAACCCTGGACAACTGGGGAAAATTATGGCCACGAAGACTTCAGGTGCCCCGCCCTCCCCTTATGTCTTAGCTGGTTTGGGGAGTAGAGAGTGGGACTTAGGACTTCTGAAAGAGTTGGACTAGGCTCTGTCGCTAACACCCTCTCCAGTGCTGCCACTTCCTGGTCTGAGCTTTGTTCTCAAGAAAGCAGAAGACCAGAACTGTGGGACATATGGACACCCTCTGTGGACGGGCCGGGAGGCACCGCTGGCTTCCATCCAAACCACCTGATGGCCTTGTCCTCATTCCAGGGTACACTGCCCAGCTCTCAGCCTTTTGTTCCTTGGTGCACACTCAGCTCAGGCTCGATGGGCAAACAAATGTACTAGAAGAGAGGGCTAAGAAAGGAGGATTAGAAGAATAAATTATCGATGACCAGGCACTGCCAGAATACATGGTGTTGAATGTTTTCACTCATTCAACACTTGCTAAATACCTATTATGGGAAAACACTGCTAATAGATATAATACCCATATAATATGTTGTGTATATTACCCATTGTCAAGAGACTGTACTGTGTAGTATTTAATACACCCTATAAAATATACAGAGTATAACTATAGTATTCATTATATCCTCTATAATTATAGAATGCAGACTAAAACACATTGTCTATAACATTCAGTATGTAGCATCCAGTAGATAGGCCAAGTCTAGGGCATTGTCTGGCACACAGTAGGCCCTCAAAAAATGTCCACTGAATAAACAATCTTTTGCAGTAACTCAGTTCACTTCAATTATTACAATTTAAGCTAAAGAAGATCCAGTTTAGGGCAGAGCTGTTAGATGCCCCTCGGGCAGGCACTGACCAGAATCTGTAAGATAGAAGTGAGTCAAGACTCGCTGACCCTGCTCCAAAGGCGGAGCCTGCTCCCACCCCACAGCCCAGGCTGGTCTTTCCTCTGCAGGCTTCGCTGCTTCTTTTAAGAGGGCCCAGCACCTTCGGCTGTGTGAGCTGGTGGTGGTGCAGGCATCCGGGATCCAGGTGTTGTAGTTGCCCCCGCCCCTTGGAATTCAGGTACCCTGTGCCCTTTTTTCTTTCCGCCTGAATATTTTGGTTTAAGAAGAACCAGCTCTCTGGGACAGAGCATTCTTAAAATCTCCAGAGGAGCCTCTGCTTCCCTTGGTTTTAGGGTAAAGTGCTCCTTTCATAACCAGCTACTTTGTGGACTACCTGCAGAGTAGTCCAAACAGAAAGAGAGCCTGAGTCAGGAGGTGCCAGGCAGCTCTAGAAAATGAAAGAAGGCCCCTGAAGCTGGAACATGGTGAGCAAGGGAAATGAGGTGAGCGTGAGAGGAGGTGGAGGAGGAGGCTGGGCCAGCCAGTGCATGGAAACGACGATAAAAATGGACTTTGGCTTTATCCTAAGAGCACTGGGAAACAGGGGAGGGCTTTAAGCCATGCATTGCCAGCATCAGAGCTGCTTTAGCAAACCATCCCACTGGGGACAGGTGCAGAACGGGTGGGCAGAGAGGCCAGAGTGGGTTCCGGGAGAGGAAGGCAGTGACGGTGGAGGATCTGAGGGGCTGGGTGAGTGGGATTGCCAGCCGCTGCAATGAGGACTGCTGGAGGCAAACCGGTACTGCAGCACGGTGCGGTGCGGGGGTCTGGAAATGGCAGGTCCGCGAGGAAGACCGTTCGGATTGAATCTGAGATGCCTGTGAAGTCTGAGTTTGCATATGTAAAACAATCAACTTCATTGCCAGAATATAGCAAAAGTAGCTTTATAAATGCTAACTTGCATGATCACATGGCTCCAAATCCAGAACTCAAGAGAGAGGTCTTGGCTAGGAAAATAAATTTAGGAGGCATCAGCATATGAAAGATATGTGAAGAAATATCTATTTCCCCAAATACCTTTATCTTTCCCATTTTGGTTTCCTGGTGCTCAATCTTCCCTATTCCTGGTGCCGCACTTCCAGCTCAATCTCTTCTGTCCTCAGGCTGGCTGTGTTTCTTAGGAAAGGCAACTGTTCTCTGTCCCAGCACTTGATTCCAAGTTTGATATTCCAGTCACTGCTTAACACTTTCTTCAGATATATCAAAGACTTGATAAGTGAAGATATTGTCCACACTCAGCATTGAAAGATCCTCCAGGCCCCCATCCCTCAGTTTTCTCATCTGTAAATGGGGATAATTAATTGCGTGAGGCTGTGTAAAGTGCTTGGAAGAGGGCCTGGCAGATAGAAAGCCTTGATCAGTGTTAGCTGTTGTTGCACCTTTGGAGCTAGGAGCAACCGTGGCTTCTGTCTCTACTAAGGAAGAAATATCTGAAATTAGTGTTTTCACATGTCTGGGAATTTGCTTAGCACACAGTAGGCATCTGGTAAATGGTAGTCTTTTACTTTTTCCCTTCTTCCTTTTTCCCTCCTTTATGACATTACTACTGACAGCCTTTCTGCAAACAAAATTTCTTACCACCGTTGCGCCATGATTATCACTGATGGAACAACCATCTGTTTCAGTTTTTTTCGTGGAACCTCTTCTTGCTATCACACAACACTATAAATTCAGAGAAATTTTAAACCCCCCAAAACTTAGAGGTCAGTTGATCCAGTCCTTTGATTTTACCAGGTAGGAAATCACAGCTCAGAGAGGTTTCTGGAATCACCCAAAGTCACAGAGCCTCTGGCTGATGGCTCGGCATTCTATTGGTTACAACCCTTTAGTCAGTGTTGAATTTTCTTCCAAAACTTCAGGGATAAATGTAATAAGTTATTTTAAACCATCTCTTCAGATTCTATATCTCGACTGGCATCAACTGATCATCTTTTTCCATCAATTTTTAAAGCAACCAAAAAAAAAAAGTTATTCTAAAGGGGGGAAGGTTGTAACAGGGGATTGAAAAGCCTTAACCAAAGCCACCCAGAGCAATACAGTAGATTATGTCTTTAAAAGCTATTGTTGAGTGGTATTTGTCACCTGATAGGATTCTCAAAATAATGTATCTGCGGCTTTAAGACCCTTTGTGGTAAGTAGCACCCCTGGCTCATTGCTATGGAAACCGAAGCAGTGGGCTAGGGCCCAGAAGCCATTCCACCTCCAGGTCTTATTTCTGTGGCTCTGCCCAACTATGGTAAGCGAAGAAAGGAGACCTTCAGTGAGGCAGTGGGGGTCCAGGACAAAACAGAAGCCCCACAGGCCCCTAAACCTGCTGTCAGGATCAGTCATCTGAAAAAGAGTAAATATAGATTCACTATATTGTTCCAAGTGAAAAATAACACAACTGAGGAGCAGTAGCAGCAGTAATTCTGGCCAACAGGTGCAGACCCCAGGGAAGTGTCCCTAGTCCTGCAGGCCACACCTCTGCACGGACCAGCGATGCTTCCTCCAGTTTCCACTGAGCGCCCCGCCCCGCCGCCGCCTCAGTCCCCAGTCCTGGCTAGCTGACACATGCTCATTGATCTACAAATTGTAATTTTGTGGTAAAAGATAAGAGCTCAAAGTTAGCATCCCCAAGCACAAAATGTGATTCCGTTCCCCACGCCTAGGTAAGAAAGCCAGCAAGAATCATTTGACACAGGCCAATTCATGCTTCTCTGGCCTTTGAAGAAAGACTCCATACCCAGGGGGAAATGCACAGTACACCTGAAATTCAGGCATTCCAGGCAGACGGGGTAAACAAGGGAAACCGAAATATTAAAATGGCAAGAGGATGAATGAGTTTTTGACCTGGTTTAAGAAGGTAGAAAAGGTGAAAGAAAATTTATAATAAAAATAAGAAAGTAATTGGATATATTACCACAAAATATTTATATAGGATATGAAATTTAAATGTGAAACTAAACACTATAAATTGCCTCTCCACTAATCTTTAAACCAAATAATTCTCATGAGAAGAAAGGTTGGCTCCTTTGGATTAATCCTAAAGAGATTCAGCATCAGAAGGTCCTCAGAATTTGTCTCAGTGCCTGAAATAATGTCCTGTGGCACTTTGTTATACCCCCAAACGAGAAGCCAAGACAAAGCAGCTGCTGCTGTTTCCCAGTTCCTGACTTCATTATACCTCCTTTCATTGATAAGATGTAATGAATAACTGATTTGTTCTCGCACAAGGGAATATGAGCCACATTCTACTGGAAAGGGCCTTGAGAGAAAAGTCTGGTGGTGATGAGGTGGGTGGGTAATTTTTTTAAATGACAAAACAACTTCAGGTCGTGGATAGTGATAGAAGAAAAGGGGACTGAATTAGAGATGAGAATAGAAAGCCATATTCCCACAGGACTAATTCCAAAGAAAATTCTGAAAACCCAGAGGAATTTTGATAAAACATCCACATAACATTACATATTCTTAAGGACCTTTAGAGCCATTGTATGTCTTCTATCATTATA